TCATTTCCACTTCAACATCCAATGAGAGTGAGAATTAGGTCCCTGTTACTGATAAAGCAGATGCAGAATACCATTTCTTTTCACCTCTTGATGAATGAACTAGCAACTCTATTTTGGGCAGAGATACTTTCAACAAACATTTGGATAATTAAAACACACCATCACTATATTGTGCTTTTGTGCCTAACTTGATACCAGTTTCCTAAACTTCTTATCTAATGTCTCTTCCTGTCCTGGTAGTTTGCTGTTCCTGTTTGTCCTTCATTCTTGAAGAGGACCATGATGTCAGGCAGATGATGTCATGACGTGCAAGTGAACTGGATTTAAGTGAGAGAAGGCTGTGCAAAAGTCACCAGTCTCACTTTCACTTCCAGAGCCATCTGGGTCCAGTGGCCAGATATGGGTCAGAAAAACTAGAAATAGCCCAGGATGCAGTGGGGAACCTTAGCCTTTTCATGCTAAGGTCTTTAACAGGTCTCAGTTTAACTGAACTAACGCCTATTCAATGATTAAGGCTTAATAAGAAATGAGACAAAGAACAGCTTTAAAAAAAAAAAGTGGTCTACTGTACACACTCCAACAACAATTCTGTTGCTGTTTCTGCCTCTACTTATCAATCAGTCAATCAATAAGTATATATTATTAAGTACCTATTATGTCTCACACACTATGTTAGGAACTGGAGATACAAAGACAAAAGTGAAACTTGCTGCCTGCAAAGGGCTTATATCCTCTTGAAGGAAACAACATGTATATAATTAGGTATGTACAAAATTAAAACAAAATAATTTTGTGAGGAGGACATTAGAAGCTGGGGAAAATCAGGAAGTTTAAAGGTAGAACTTAAGCTGAGAGACAAACAAGGACTTTTAAGAAGCGAAAATGATGAGGCAGTGTATTCCAGTGCAAGGCATGGAGATGAGAGATGGCATACTGTGCATAAGAAGCTGCAAGTCTGGACTGCAGAGTACAAGAGGGAGAGTAATGTATAAGCCTGGAAGTATAGGTTAAGGTAAGACTGTGAATGATTTTCATAACCAAACTTAAACAGTAGAGTTTATATTTGTTCCTATATGTGACTGGAAGCCACTGGAGTTTATTAACTAGAGGAAATGTCATGATTACACATGAGCATTGGGAAAATTACTTTGGCAGCTATATGGATGATGGAATGGCACAGAGAAAGACCTGAGGCAAGGAAGCTTAATTAGGGGGCTACTGTAGTAGACCAGGCAAAAATTAAGAATAGGGGTCTGACTAAAGGGTTGGCTACATGAGAAGAGAGGGAGGGATACATGAGAGAGATGGTGAGTGTCAACTGACTGGATATAAATGACTGACATCAACAGCCGAGTAATCTGGAAGGACAGTAGCTAATTTTGGAATCTGTGACATAGTTGGAAGCTTTAAAATTGTTCTAAGGGAGATGGCCACTGAGTCACTAGATCATACGATAACCTACTATTTCCAAGTCATTCCATCTTAATGGTGCTACACCCTTATGTGTAGTAACACTTATGTGTTCAACAGTTCCATCAAAACACCTTTTAAAGTCTTCTCTATATTTTTTGTGAACTCCTTCTGGAGGTATTGGTAAGATCATATTCTACTAAACAGTTAACTAGACAAAGCAGTTTTGGCACTTACTGTATTCCAGGCACTGTTTTTTTTAGGCAATTGGGATTAAGTGACTTGCCCAAAGTCACAAAGCCAGTAAGTTACAAGTGTTTGGTCTGAGGCCGGATTTGAACTCAGGTCCTCCTGACTTCAGGGCCGGTGTTCTATTCACTGTGCCACCTAGCCACCCCCCCTCCCCCCAGGTACTGTTTTATTCAAGGAATTTGTATTCTAATAGGGGAGAACAAAACATAAAAGAGGATACAGAAAGGGGAAGGTGGAGAAGGGTAGAAGTCCTGAGAGTAAGCTGAGTGGGAATAAAGTTAGCAAGTTTAGGACCTGTCAAGAAATGGCAGTGTGAGCTAGGAATCAAGAGAGCAGGATCCTTGTAGCCGAGAAGATCTGAGGCTCTGGTACCTCTATGCATGTGTTCCTGCACATAAATGAGGAAGGAAGGAAGAGGTGAGGGTGAAGGAACCCTGAGTTCGGCTTTGGACACAATATATTTGAGCTGCTTTTGGAATGTCTATTTTGAAAGGTCCAATCGATAACCATAATGGACTACCACTCAGGAGAAAGATGAGTTTGGGGTATATAAATTTGGTATTTATTTGCATAGAGATAATTAAATCAATAGAAGGAGATGAGGTTATTAAGTGAGAGTGTCCTGAGAGATGAGAAGAGGGTCCAATACACAAAGTCTTACAATATGACATATAAGGGATATGAAATGTATAATGAAGCAGCAGAGGAGATCGAGAAGTCTTCAACCAAATATTCTGTGTAATGTTTCCCCATTCCGGTTCCTTCATTTCCTTGCATGAACAGAACTTTTTTATAATTGAGTATATGCTTTATACTGCTGCTAAAGTGATTTTCCTCAAGCTCATTTCCTATTTAATAAATTCTATCGGCTTTACACCACTTCCAAAATAAAATAAAAACCTCTTTTGTCTTTTAAAGCTCTTCACAACCTGGCCCCAACCTATATTTCCAAGCTTATTGTACATTACTCATCCCCTTGCACCCAAAGATCCAAACTAGTCTTCTCTCTGCTCTTCACACATAATATTCTACTTCTTGATTACATGCCTCTGCAATGGTTCTCCCTGATACTTGAAAGTATTCTCTCCTTACCCCTACCTCACAGAATCTCTCTTTTCCCTTCAAAACATCACCCAAGCACCATACACGAAACCTTTCCAGGAAAGGACAACTGCTAGTGTCCTTCCTCTCAAACTACTCTGAATGTATTTACATTTATTTTATTTATATTTACATAGAATATACTTATATAAGGCCTTACTGTCACCCCTGTTAGAACGTTAGCTCCTTCAGAGTAAGAATTGTTTCATTTACTGTATTTGTATCTTCTTCAGCGTCTAGCACAGCACCTGACAGAAAGTAGGTGCTTAATAAATACCTGTCTATTGATTTATATACACTATCATTCTACTTTATCCTGCTTCTTCTGAATAAGGTATAGTCTCTCACAGTCAAATTCTAGCCACAGATCCATCACACAAAGTCTCAATAATACTTATTCATCTCAATAATACTTATTCATCTCCCAACTTTAGCTTGTTTCTCCCAAAATCTAATGAAAACTTTCCAACTTACCCATTTCTGTTTGGGACATCACCATCCTTCAAATCACCTAACCTCAAAATCTTCAAGTCAGCTTTGACTCTTTCCTTTTCTACAGACGTCACTTTCAATCAGATGATAATTCCTATAGATTCCAACTAAAAAAATCTCTAATTCCATTTCTCCACTCACAACCCTTGTAATGGCCCTCTTCATTCCCTGCATCATTGTACAGCCATCTAAACTAAACTCCCTGACTCCAAACTCTACATTCCCCAATCTAGCCTCCAAAAGTCTCCCAAAATCATCTTCCTATCTCACTAATGCACAAGTTTGACCACTGTCACCCTCCTACACAAGAACGTTCAGTGACTCCCTGCTATTTATAGGATAAAATACAAACTTCTTCACCTGGCATGGGAGGTCTTCCACAATCTGGGTTTCCTTTATCTTTGCAAGCTCATTTTAACAACACTATAACATAAAGACTTTAATTTCCAATAAAATTTGAATGTTCACTTGCATTCTTGTTATGTATCCACACAGGCTACCATAAGGAGACTGAGAAGAAAGAGTGTTACATAAGTAAAGCTACTCTTAGAACTGAAAGGAAAACTTGTTAGAGAGATCTTGGCTACAAGAGAGGCAGAGAGATTAGATGGGAGGGTGGAGGGAAATATATCATAGTAAACAGGTTGCTAGTACACAGCAAATGGTGAAGAATGATCGAGCTTAGCCTTGGTATCAAGTGAGACATCCACTGAACATATTAAGTCAGCAGACATCCATTGAACATATTAAGTTACATGGCATGAGAAGACTGTGAAAAACAATAGTAGTATTTGGGAGGGAAAGATTGAGTACTATCAAGTAAAAGTCTGATAAATTTAATTTTATGTGGATCAATGACTCCAGAGATTATAAATAAGCAAAAACATAAGTTTAAAATTTTTTGATGACTAATTTGGATTATTTTAAATTAACTACTCTAATGACAAAAAATTGGAACTTTCTACACTAGTAAGTGACATGGAATAGACATAAAGAGACGTGGGTTATTAGTTCTTCTAACTGGTCATATGACTTCAGGCAAGTCCCTTAAATTTTTCTGAGTCTTACTTACTTTCTTTTTTTTTTTTCCAAGGCAATTGGGGTTAAGTGACTTGCCCAGGGTGACACAGCTAGTAAGTGTCAAGTGTTTGGTCTGAGGACGGATTTGAACTCAAGTCCTCCTGACTTCAGGGTTGGTGCTTTATCCACTGTGCCACCTAGCTGCCCCCTGAGTCTTACTTTCTTCTGTAGATGATAACTACAAAACACTTAAGGTTTCTTTCAGGAACAACTCTAAAAATTGACACTGAGTTTTGTTTGATGATTTGTCAAAAGTATTCTAGTACTAAGACATTTAAATTTTACGGCAGTTTTTTTTTTAAATCATACCTAGGAAACCAAGTTAATTCAGATGTTCCTTTACATGTGTTACAAAAGATAAACATTTATTTAACTCAAGATACACTGATCTAGAGACTTCAATGAATGCAGTCACATCTCTTACCTCTATCCAAATGTCACATTGCTTTTAGGCCGACAAGAGACATACACTTAAAAACTTCCATGGAGTGTCATTTTATTTCAAAATATGCTACTGAAAAATCTGGTATTTTACACCCTGTTATTCAAACCAATTAGCTACTGCTAAAATCACAGGACAGACTTATCCCAACAGTCCAATGCAAATATAAACCTCACTTTAATGAGTAATTTAATAGTTTCTTGCTTTATAATATTTACAATACCTTATAGACAGAATCAATGAATCGATAATCATTCTTTGCTGTGAGTTCTGTATTGGAGATGACCAAAAATTCCGCCACATAAGTTGAATATGAAGTCAGGGAATGGCTGATAATAGGCAAATATGCTGCAGGATCTCCTTTTACTAAACTGTTGGAAAGGGAAAAAAGCGTGTTTTAATGATTCCACAAAATTAGACCTTCAAAATTTTGTTACCATTTTCCTCTTTAAAAATGCTACCATCACCCGAGGTGGTGGCGAACACTTTTAATCCCTGCTACTGCTTGGTGCTCTAGTACGGCTGAAGTCAATCAAACACCAATGTCAGGAGCTCCAGGAGCAGAGAGATAATAGGTAGCTTAAGGAGGGGCAAACTGGCTCAGTTCAGAAATAAAGCAGATCAACGCTTCCATAAGGATCAGCAGTGGGATCAAGCCCATGAGTGCCTACTGTACTTTCTGCCTAAGTAAGATAGGGAGATCAAGTCTCAAAAGAAAAAGAAAAGCTGCCTTGAAATTATTATCTACTCAAAATAAGTTCCACTGTGGAGAACGTTAACTTAGATTAAAAAAGTAACCCAATAAATGTTTGTTATCAACAAAGTTTAAATTAAGTAACTTCCAATAGCTGCTTTAGTATTAAAAATCAAAATTCTAACAAGTATATATGCACCTGAAAAAGTGATATTTCATTTAACATTTACACACACAGGAAAGATGGTGGCTCATTAATTTAAAATAAATAGCCAAACCTCAGAAAATGAAATAGAACTAGCTGAAAAGTAACTAGGTGGGAGAGGGAAGGCTGCAAAGATAAACTTACAAGTAAATTACATTAAACATATAAAGAATTAGTAATATAATACATATTATACACAAATTATTCTAAGAAAATTGAGGAAAAAAACTACATCACACTCCCTTTGAGACAAATATAATACTACTTTGTAGTAGGATGAAGCAAAGAAAGAGAATTATAAATCAATATCACTAATAAAACACTAATTCAAAATTTTAAGTAAAATCCTAACAGAAAGACTATATAATATATCAAAAGATGAGTCTTTACGACCAAGATTTTATAACCTGAGAGGGAAGAACAATTCAACATTAGAACAATAAGCAATCATGTTAAAAACAGAAACACTCCAAATCACATTATATCAATATATTATAAAAAAAATTAGACAAAATACAGCATTCATTTATGCCCAAAAAGAAAAACTTACAAAGAATTAGTACAGAGAGGTAATTTTAATATGCTAAAATGTAAATATCTAAAAGATTAACTTGCAAAGAAGCCTTCCCAATAAACTCCAAAGATTCAAAAATACTGCGCTGATAATGACATAATTCTAGAAACACTAGCAGTAGAAGAGAAAAATTATCCCTATTTGTTTTCAATTCAGTGGTTTTAGTAGAAAACTCTATAGAACCAGTAAAGAAGGTTACTGAAATAATTAATAGCTTCAATAAAGTTGCAGGATACAAAATAAATCTATAAAAATTAATAGTATTTTTATACAGTAATAATAACTTTCAGGAGGAAATAGCAAGGGATATTCCATTCAAAATGACTTACATGAAATATATGATCTACTAACCATGGATCTGTATACATTTAGATAAATACAATTACAAAACATTCTTTAAAGAAATAAAGAACTCCTTAAAGTTTGAGGGGTATTCATTGGTTACATAAGTGTCAACACAATAAATATTATTTACCTGACAGGAAAATAATAATTTACCTAAATAAATTTACAGATTTGCACTATACCAACAGAACTACTAAAAAGATACTTTGAAGAGCTAAATAAGAGAAGAAAATTTATTTGGAGAAATAAAAGATCTAGAATGTCAAGGGAAATAATGAAAAACAATAGAAATGTAAGGAGAATTGCACTCCTAGACTTCAATTTTTAATATAAAACAGTAATGATCAAAACTACTGGTGGTATGAAAATATTTACAGAAACTTTTTTGTGGCAAAAAATTGGAAATTAAGGGGATGCCCATCAACTGGGGAATGGCTGAACAAGTTGTGGTATATTATTGTGATGGAATACTATTGTGCTATAGGTTTCAGAACATCCCGAGAAAACTTTTTTATGTACAGTTAAGTTGGGCAGAACCAAAAGAATACTGCACACAGTAAAAGCAATACTGTACTATGATCGATTGTGAGTGACTTAGCTATTCTGATCAATATAATGATTCAAGAAAATTCCAAAGGACTTATGATGAAAAATGTTATCCATTTCCAGGGAACTGATGAACTCTGAGTACAAACTAAAGCATAATTTTTTCTTGCTTTAAAAAAAATGCAACATGGCTAATATAGAAACATTTTTGCATGATTTCACATGTATAAATGCTATCACAGTTCTTGTCTTCTTAATGGGTGGGCAAGGGGTGGAAAAGGATGGCAAGAACTCGGGAACTCAGAATTTTAAAAAAAAATGAATACTAAAAATAAATAATAAATTAAGGGAAAACTATTGGGCCGATTTTAAAAAACTGAAAAGTAAATTAAGAGTTGGAAACAAGGCCTAAGTGGCAAATGGCAGGGAAGCATCAATTCAAAAGAACTGTGTAACAGTATAACACTGAACTGATTAACAAGGGGTCAGCATTGGGAGAGGAAAGTAAAGCCAGGAGGAGCCTAGGAAGGACTGAAGAGGGCAGAAACTCAAGGTCACATTGAGGATAAAGAACAGGTTTAGAAGAAGTGAGGCATAGGGACAAAACAGATCAATAAGACATTATGGTCAGATAAAGAAATGGAATGCAATGGATCATAATAATGAGAATACTTAGATTAACAAGAGGAAATTCCAAATTGAACAAAAGAGTCAAGTGGTCAGGAAAACTAGTAACAGAAAGGGGCAGCTATATGGCATAGTGGATAGAGCACCGGCCCTAAAGTCAGAAACTGAGTTCAAATCTGGCCTCAATCCAAACACTTGACACTTACTAGCTCTGTGACCCTGGGCAAGTCACTCAACCCCAACTGCCTAGAAAAAAAAAAAGTAAAAGAAAATAATCCACATCACTAAGAACAGCAAACATGAAAATTAAAACATCCTTGAAATTTTACTTCACACCCACACCCATCAAATCAGCAAAGATGATAAAAGATGGAAAGAGTTAAAATTATGGGGAAGATGGACATGGCAATACATTGTTGGTGCAACTATCAAACGGTCTAATTGTTCTGGAAAACAATCTGGAATTTTTATAGAAATGATGACAAACTGCTCATACCCTTTGACCTGGCAATGCTTCCAAAAAGTAAAAAGACAGACAGATCCCAAAGATAACAAAATTTTCAGAGCAGAACTTTTTATTATAGCAAAATAACTGGAAAAAAAAAAGAACCTATTGAATGGAGAATGGCTGAACAAATTAAAGTATATTAAAGTAAATGAACTACTGTGCTATAATAATAAACAACAAATAAGAGGAATCTGGAGAAATCTGGAAAGTGCATGAACTGAGAGACAGAAGCAAGCAGAATCAAGAAAAAATATACACAATGACTATAATAATAGATATTAAAATACCACTAAAAGGCAGTCAAATTCAGATTCACTGCAGCCTTGGCCTTGGAGAATAGATGATGATACACAGTAAACTCCTCTTAGTAAAGAGGTAGAGAGACTGACTGTTACACGTGCAGAATACTGCATATACTGTTAGACCAAATTATCACATAAGTTGATTTTGCTTAACTGTTTTTGTTTGTCAAAGGAATGGTTCAACAGGAAGAAAGGTACTTGGGATCAATAACTGTCTAATTTAGATGGTTTATTTGTGAAAGGTGAGAGGATGAAAGGAAAGCAAGGACTAGCTTAGATGAGTTTATAAAAAGCTCATCTACATCTATCACTCTCAAATATGCATGAGAAAAAAATACAATGAAATAAAATTTGTTTTTGTAATCTGCACAAAACTTTGCTAATTAACAAGACATTTCAAGTTCTTAAAGTCCTATATATAATTAGTAAAAAATACAAGTGTTCCTATAACTCCACAAATTTTGAAATGCATACATTGACTTTATCAAGATCAATTTAAATAGTATCCATACAGTAGTATTTTTCTTCAATGAATCCACTCTTCTTACAGAAGTCAATTTTTCTAAAAACTATTTCATCTACTGAAATTATAACTTTAAAACAAATTGAGTCAGGTACTTCACTGTAACTTACCCTGAATAATCAACCTCTCTAGGATAACCAAGCAATCGAATTCCTTGTTCTAGATTTCGTAAGCTTCTTTTTAAATCACCAGTTGCCATGATGGAATTTTCACCTTTAAAAAAAAGGGGGAAAAAAGCAATTGTAAATGTTTGGACTTCCAATGAACTTTCCAGAAGTACTTTGATTTATACTTTATAGCACTTAACACAATAAGCTAATTACCATTTTATGTTTATTTCCTTTACTAGTTTATAAATCTTTCTAAATTTGTGGCAATTGTTTTATGTTAAGTCATTGCTATAGCTCTGCCAATACCTAATACAGGAGATACTGACAAATATTCATTGAGAATTAAATGAATAAGATTCTTAGTTTTTATTTAGACTTAACACTGGAAATTCATGTTGCCAATAACAAAGCTCAAAATAAAAGAGGTCTATCAACTAAGGAACACAAAATACACTAAGTAGTTTATTTTATAGCTCTATAGCATCCATAAAGAAATGAGACAAAAAAAATTACTTCTTGTAATTTATGAAACATAGCAAAACCTAATTTATTCAGACAATGATACTTTAAAGACGCAAAGTAAAAAGCTGCTTAATAGCCATCCTTGTAAATCTACTTCAATAATCATAACCTGCAATTAAAAATATTGTCTTTATAGACCAATTTATATTGGTGGTTTTAAGATATAGTTTCATCTTTCTAGTATAAAGGATCCTCTCAGACATCTTATGAAACAGAAAGAAATGAAGAAATTTTTATTAAGCACTTATTACATGCCAAGCACTGAGGATACAAACAGAGAAATGAGACGATTCTTACTCTAAAAGAGTTCACATTCTAATTAGAGGAGACAACATACATAGGAGGATTCAGGGGAAGGGCAGATGATAAAGCCATCGAGTGTGAAGGCCTTGCACAACAGCAAGACAGATGATATGATCCAATAGAAGGACCTTACTGCCCAGTGAGATGGCTTATGAGTAAGGCCTGACAGTCTTCCACCTTACCAGAAAGATTATAGCTGATGGTCCTCTGCTCATCCAAGTGGTGAGTAGCCATGTCCAGCCTAAAGCCAAGGACCTTGAAAGGGTCTGGCACATGACCTTTGAGAAGGAGGAGATCCTGGTAAAAACTGAGCAGCAAGGAAGCAGGGGCATTGTTAAAGGGTCCCTCAAGGTAACCTCTGAAATGCAGAGCCTGGTAGGAGGATATGGGCAGTGTCTAGCTAAGGCCCTTGGGGGTAAGGACTATTTACTTAGCATTAATTACTATTAATTTCTTAACAATTCCTTTTTATAGAGAATGCAAAAATACACAACTCTAGAGTGACTCATTAAAGAGGTTCTACTTCATTTTAGATTAAATCATGTTTTTAAATTCCTAACATATGTAGGATAAGTCGAATAAACAACAGGCCTACAAAGGCGGAGTTGGTTCTGTCCTCTAATACCAGGGTTATCAAAAAAATTCCACTACATTTTTTGATAGGATGAGTCCAAAAGTGATAACTTATGCCAATGGGTCAAGTAATATCTCTGTGCAGATCACAACCCAACCACATCTTATCTACTGGGATTTTTGTCCATGTTATTATCTCATTAATCCTTAGAAGAAAATCAACTCCATCTGCTAGGAGGTCTTATTCTAGGTCTTTTTTACATTTTATAGGTACCAGTGAAGGACTTGGGCTGCCCACTTATTACCTATAACTCTTGCTATATAAACATTTATGTCCTCAGTAACATCCCTTAGTCCACCTTCATGCACTAGGTGATTATTAAAAATATGGTGAAGCTTACTTGGACTCATCCAGTCTCCAGTGCCCTGTGGGTCACCTCTAATTTTAACTGTCCAAAGTGTGGTGCTCTAAGATTCCCTACCAAACAGCATCATGTCTGTCAGATCATGTCACTTCCCTGCTCCATCTCCAATGGCTCCCTATTACTAGTACCTCAAGGGTCAAACACTAACTCCTTTCTTTGGCATCTAAAACCCTCCACAATCTGGCTCCAGCAATACCTTTCCAACACACCTTCCTAGAATAAAGCTCGAGGTACGATGGATGGAGTGCTGGGCTTGGAGTCAGGAAGATCTAATTTCTAATCTGGCCTTAGACATGTGAATAGCTGTGTGACCTTGGGAGAGTCACATAACCTGTTTGCCTCAGTTTCCTCAACTATAGAATGGAGTCAATAAGAGCACTTACCTCCCAGAGTTGTTGTGAGAATCAAATGAGATGTTTGTAAAGTGCTTAGCACAGTGACTGGCACATAGTAGGCATAGTGTCCTTTTTAAAAATATAAATGCTTATTCTCATTCCCCCTACCCTCCTTCCTGTATATTACTCCCCTTTACACACTCTATAGGCTAGCTAGACTAACTTTCTTGCTGTTTCTCACACATAAGACTTCATCACTCGTCCATGACTTTGAACAGTTTGGTTCCCATGCCTGAAAAACAAAGTTTCCTCATCTCCACATCATAGAATCCCTTTAATACTCAAGTACTTCTTTTTACATGAGGCCTTTCCTGACCCCCTTCCCCAATTATTCCCCAATATTTATTTCGAATACACTTAAGTACATGTTGTCTCTTTGGTCAGAATGTAAAGTTCTTTGAGGGCAATTACTGTTTCACTTCTGCCTTTGTGTCCATAGTGTCTAGGACACTGGAAATGCTTCATAAATGTTTGCTTAAGTGAAAAAGATTAGAATCAAGTATTTGTGAACTTCCCAAATACTAGAGGCATCTAGGGGCCCCAATGGATAGAGAATTGGACCTGAGGATAGAAAGATCTAAGTTCAAATTCAGCCTTAGGCACTGACCAGCTGTGTGACCCTGAACAAGTCACATAACCTGTCTGCCTTGGTTTCTTCATCTATAAAATCAGATAACAACAGCTACCTTTCACAGGGTTGTTGTGAAGGTCAAATAAGACATTTATAAAGTGATCTGCAAACCTTAAGGTGCAATAGTCATTACTATTATTATTCCCACATAAAATCCAGTCCAATCTCTTCCTCTTGTTCAATTCTGAGTTCAACTTATCGTCCATTCATAGTTGCTATTAGTATTGATACATCAACTCAATGGATTGGCCATTCAATTGCATGTCATAGTCCAGCTGATATTTTCCATCCATTTGGTTTTTCCTGTCAGCCTGTTAGGCTCTTTTGGATAATCAGATATCACCATATAATGTTCTGGGATTCAATATGATCTGCAAAGAGGAATACCTGGTGGACCTCACTCTCTGTAGGAAATCTCACTTCTATTTGGACCCTGCCTAGAACAACTTTGATGACAAAGGCAAACACTTTTGGCAAGCATATCCTCCTGCTTTATGCCTTCATGCTAATAATCATAAGGTTACTGAACATTATGGTTACATAAAGGAATTGTTTATCATTTTAACCTAAACATGAGAGACTCCTTATTGGTGATGAGCCTTTCAGGTACTGTTTTGTGTTACCAAAAAAAATCCTTTTTAAAAATCAACAATATATATAGAAGGGCTGCTAGGTGGCACAGTGGATAGAGTGCCAGGCCTGAAGTCAGAAAAACTTAGCTTTCTGACTTTAAATCTGTCTTCAGACACTTACTAGCTGTGTAATCCTGGGCAAGTCACTTAACCTATTTTCCTCAATTCCTCATCTGTAAAGTGAGCAGGAAAAGGAAATAGCAAACCACTCCAGTATCTTTGCCAAGAAAGCCCCAATGGAGTCACAGAGAGTCAGACAGGACTAAAAAGACTAAAGAACAGGATAAACGTAACAGTGACCTCTTGTATTCTGTGCAGCTTTTCAGGCAACTGTGGAACTGTAAAACTTGGGTATACTACAGAAAAAGCATTTGCAAAAGCCTATCTATTCTATTCTCGTCACATTTTTATTAAGGACAGAGCACACGATTACAGACCTCAAAGGGATCTTAGGTCATCTAGCTCAATCCCCTCAATTTAGAGTTGAGGAGGAACATCATCATCATCAAGGACATGTACAACTAGAAAAAAGATTAAGCAAGTCATAAGGAGAGTAAAAGATAAACATTCTGAATGTTACACTGTTGCCCACAAAAATACTAAAAGAACCAGAAACAGGCTCCTGGTGTTTAGAACTGAAAAGGAACAGAGAACATCAAACCCTCATTTAAAGGTGAAAAAAACCAAAGGCCAGAGAAGTGAAGCACCCTGTCCAATCTGGCCCAGAGTAAATGCAGCCAGTGACCAAGCCCATGACCTCCTCTCGTCCCAAACGCCTAACTCTCCACTAAACCACAAAGCCTCCTTCAGAGACCACTTTCTGGAAGACACAAAAAAGAATAACTCCTAATGACTGGACATAGGATGGATCCAGAAATGGATCCAGGCAATGGCTTTTTTAAAGAAGCCATTTAGGTGCTTTTACAGAACTGTCCAACCTGTGCAGAAATTACTGCTTTCAAAAGACAAAAGAGGAAAAATGGCTTCTAGCTCCATGTTCTTTGTCACTGTCAGCCTGTAAGCCCTTCTCTAAGGGAAGTGGAAGAGATGTATTATAGTAGAGCAAGGCAAAAAACCCAATTTTTTTAATCCATGAATGCCTCAATGACCGCCCCCTTCAAAGCAAGGTTCTTGACAGATGAAAAGAAAGCCTGTAGAAGGAAGAAGTAAGCTTTTTTTCCCCCTCCTAATAATAGGGGAAGAGACAGCCCAGAATACAGCAGCCAGTGCTGTTTAATTCTATCAGTCTTTTTATTTGTATGCGTACAGAGAATTTTTGAAAGGGTAGGAAGGATGTCCTAATTGACTGCTGCAAATAAAATGTAAAGGTTGAGTGAAGGGGAAGGCTTATTGATTCTTGCTTAACTGAAATTCTTAGGAACATTCAATTAAAAATTTGCTCTGAGGAAGAAGAGGATGTCAGTTTTTACAATCAAAACATGTTTGGAAATGCTGTTTCAGTCTAAAAAAAATTTTTCTCCCTGATGATTTAAATGCCAAATGGTGCTTGGTACTCATTTCGAAAGGAAATTTAACTTAAGGAATTTTAGAAATTATTCTCCTTTTACCCACTACCTCCCCCCAAAGGGATAAAACCTTAATATATCCAAAATGAAAGTGGAATTTTTACAAAACGAAATGCCATCAGCTTTAAAAAGAGGAAAACCGGGAAAACACAAGCAGGATATGCGAGCTCAAACATCATGGCATCTGCACTGTCCTGGGGGGGGGGGGGGCCTCATGGCCCAGGTCTCATTTTCCACTTACCCGCCTCCCATGAACAAAACCACCACTGCAGCCTAGCCACGACCTCCGTGCTGTCTTCCAGTTCAGCCCTGGACTCCCTGCTCTGCTACTTACGGTACGACAATGGACCACTCACCACCCCTCTCTGGACCTTCCCCAGACGCTGACCGCTACTCCTTGGACCGCTTTCAGGACGACGGTAAAACGAGGGAGTTGGCCTGGGGGGCCTCGAGAGCCCCTCCCAGCCTTGGATCTGGCTCCTAAGACCTAGGCCGCTCGAGAGGCAAGAAGGAGCTGCTGCATCCAGCAGACGTCGCTGCGGACGCTTGGTGGAGGTGTGACTCTTAAGCGGCGCCCGAGACTCAGTTTCCCCCTCAGTATAACGGAAATGGAAACAATAGCGCTGCTCTCGCACGCAGGTCCTGGGGGGCAAACGGGGCTGGGGAAGCAAAGGCGCGCAGCAAACCACGAATCGGCGAATTATCAGTGTCAGTGGGAAAACCGAAGCGTCCGGCCCTTCGCCCCTGCCCCACCCCCCGACTGGACCGGGAAAGGCGGAGAAGGTAGGCTGGGGTGGGGTGGAGAAAAGGCGGTGCTCTCCCCCGCTCCACTCCCGCTCATCCCCGCGGCTCACCTCCTAAGCCCAGGGAAGCCGTGTCAGAGCCCGCGGAGGCAGCTGCAAGCGAGCGGGCCCGTGCGCGCACTTCAGGACGGCGCCTGCGCCCTTTACGCACTGCGCTGACCGTTTACGACCCTGGCGGGGGGGAGGGGAGGGGATGGCGGGGGGCAGGCCGCGGAGCTCCCCGGGAGGCGTATCGAGCTTAGCTCCTCCTTCATTCTCTACCGCGCTCCGCCGCAGATTCCAAACGGCGCCCGTCAGCGCCCTTCAGGGAGCGTGGAGGGGGTCACCGAAGTTTCCAAACGCCCCGACGTGGTCAGAAGAGGACAACTAAGGCGCGGGTGATTTAGGGGAGTCGCAGGGACCTCGAGGAGCATGATGGGAAGACGACAAGCGTGTGGCGAATCGTGAGGTGGGCGAAACACAGCTCTTTGTCTTCAAAGGGCACGGGAACGTCGTCACTTCCGGCAACAATAGGAAACGTCAAAACTCGGACCGGAGGCGACTTGGGCCGCCGCAGCGGGAGCGGAGCTGAGCCTTGGAGGCGGCGGGAGCTGCGGCCGGTGCGGACACCACCATCGCCACCTCGTTCCTTCTCCCCTCCTCGGCTGAGGCCATAGAGCTCGAACCGGCTTCTCCATGGCCCGGACAACCGTGCCCGGCTGAGCCGCTTTCCACTTGGCTGAAGCCACCTTCCGAAGCTGAGTCGTCGCGGCGGCGGTGGGGATTGCAGGTGGCTCAGGTATAAACTCCAGCACGACTTTGTCCCCCGCCCTCTCCCCCTAGTCTCCCATTCCCCACCCCCACCCTGCGGCCTCTTCCCCTCCCACCCGGAGGCACCCGGTTACATTACCTGCCTGCCTGTGGGCAAAGGCTGACCAACCTGCGTGAGGCGGTGACCAATAGCACTCGTCATCTCCTCGAGTGACGGCGCGTCAGCCAATGACCATGCGGGATTAAGGCGTTGGGGAGGCGGGAAGCTGTAACTGTAGTCCCTGGGGATGGGGTGTCATCCCGGGAAGAGACGAAGGCAGGTCTGTCCTCAGGTAGCGGGAGCACACTCTGTGCCCCAAACCTCCCTGGAACCAAGACCTGGGAGATCTTTCCGGTCTCGTTTTACAGCCTTTATGAATGCCAGCAACACACCCAGCTGGGCAGGGCCCGACCCTCGGACCTTGTCGAGGGAATTACCGCTTTTACACCTGGCGTCTGGATACTTAGACGTAATCTCTTCAATATTTGTTTTAGTGGCAAGATTAGTACTTGCCCTCCGTGACTGGAATGATAGGAATTATCAGATGCTCCAGCACCCATCTTTTAAAATAAAATGTCTGTTTCCTTGCATATTCACTTCATTTTTAAGAAAATGAATTTTATTGATATCTTTAGTGTTTTACATCACCAGAGTTTCTCACAGTAAGTTATCCACCCTTTTCCTCTTCTAGGGCTGTATTCATTTTGAAACAAAAGGCACCTTAAGCTTACGTTAAAGTATTGCTATTGAAATTATGGGTCTAATAGTGCAGTCCTGTCTCCTTTATGAGTGAAATATGAATATTTTTTAAAAATAAAATTGTCTTGATAGATTTTTATGTCGCCTAAATTTTCCCCTGTGCCCCTTAGCCAATTTTAAAGAGCCATACCACAGAGCAGTGTTTTATAAAAAGAAAAAGAGGAAGAGGGGGAAAAAGTACATCAACACATTGACAAAAATCTGAAAATACATGCATTGTTTCACATCTGTTGGAGATGAGGAAGGAGAGCATTCCAGGCATGGGGGACAGAAGGTGAATAGGTCTGGAGTCCCACAGTGGAGTGTCTTTTCATATCTCCTTTGAGACTGTGCTTTTTTTTTTTGTAATTTTTGTTAAATCTTATTTTCAAAGGTTTTTATGTTCTTTCCAGTGAATCATTTCGAGACTTCCAAAGGTTCTTAAGAACTGTTCAACGTTTCATAGTGCTTACATACTTAATTTATTACATGTGCAGAACCTCATGCTTACTAACAATTTATGTTCCTATCAAGTTTTTATAAATAGGTGAAAAGGGTAGCTAGCCCTCCTTTCTATTTCACCAGAAATAATCACCAAGACATTTGTATAAACTCACAGCAGTGGAATTACTAATCCAAGTGTTTAATTGAGTAGGCCATTGTCACTCTAACCCATTACAAATCCTTTAGTTGATTCAGTAGCTATTTTTCAAATGAAGGTGGGGCAAACCAAATGGCTTGTCTTTGGTAAGCGTGAATTATTAGCATTGAATTTTGCAAAGCATTTAGACCTATTTCACTTAATTAGATTATTTTAGTTCAATAATGTTCCAAATGAATGGATGAAGATCATAAAATCTTGAGTCTACTCCCCCAATCCAAAATGATGCCATTGTTTTAAAATGTGTATATTTGCCAGCAAGTTCTCCAAATATTTTTCACATTAGATTGCTGCCTTTGATTCTTAATCATCTAATAACCTCCAGTTATTATCACATTAGGAAATCCAGTATTAAAGAACCAGGGTTGAAATATAGTCTTTTCAGAAGATATAATAGTTACTTAAAATGCTTTTTGAAGATAACCTTAGAGTTTTTGTACATTGCTAGAGATAGAAATAATAGGGATTGCTTGTTTGCTTGTACTAGTTTTTCCCCCGATCTTTTGTCTTAAATATGTAAGACTAGAAACTAAACCTGGTATCTTTTATGCAGGGGTTTAAGGATGTAGACCAGCTATTGTCTTAATGACCATGTTTTACTTTTGTAACAAAGAGGCAAAAATAATAATCCTAATAATTCTTGGCTGTTCTAGTTAAAAATAAATGAGCCCATTAAAAAAATTTATAGACTGTGATAAAATGTAAGTTTTAAGAAAACAGTGATATTGTAAATCTTTGCAAAATTTTAAAAAAATACAAGGTGTGTGCTTTTTAGTAACAAAAACTATTCTTGCAGAACCAGACCTCTAAATTTAATGAGAGCTTTTTTATGTCTTCTATGTACCTCATGACCTCTTGGTACTTAACTGTTTGCCTTTTCTTCTTATAAGACCCCTTGTGGACCTAGACTTCTTTCATTCTTCTGCATTTGTTACCTTTAAGTTTAGGGAGTGAATGGTTATCACTTTTTTTTCTCTGTTCAGTCTGTTCTGGACTACTTTGGTGGTCTCCTATTTTTTAAGGAGAGAAATGAAATGCCTGAAGTAATAACTCCCCACAGAATCCTTTTATTTTCTATTCTTTTAGAATAATCTTAGGGGATCTCATTTAAAGATTATCAAATTAGAGTAATTTCATATCCATTTGCTAAGCTACCAATATTTCAGAAGCTACAGATGTAAAAAAGATATTTTTATGCACTTTTAATAGAATTTACTTTTAATTGGTAATTTTATGGTTATCAATTTCATATTTTTCAAATGGAAATAGCATAAGATTTTCCATAATGTTTTAGAAATATATCTGATGCAGAAAATGGGTTACTTTAAAATGATGCCACCACTTTGACACCAAAGACATGCCACGGTTTAGAATGAGTGCTTTAAGTGAGCCTATTTATAGATTAATCAATGTATGCCAAATATTTAATATTAGTTAAGTGATAGTGGAATGGGTTTGCCCCAGACCAGTTTAGGAAGCAGAATGTTTCATTCATCTTTGAGTAATCTGAATTCTGTACTCATTCTCTCCATTTCACTCTCCAAAAATATCAGACATTTTTAAATTAGTTGCAGTTGTTCCCAAAGCCATGTAATGTATGTGAGCACTTAACAGCTTACATAAACTGACAGAGGACAGTTAGTCACCTTTTCCTATTGCTCATACAAAATAGTAATTTTTAAATGTTTAACTTATTTTAATAATATTTTGATTTAAGAATGCTCCATATCTTATAATACGACTGTAAGAGTTAGAGTACTGTTTAATATGTTATTCATTGATTATTGTAAAATACTCATAGAAGTAATATATAATAAAATTTCTTAGAAACAATAAAACGTGGAATGTTAGGAATATTTATGTTATTGTATGTTAAAATGTATGTTATTACACTTGAAGAAATATGAAAAAACTTAATTTGTCATAAAAAAAACCATGTAATAGCATGCCAAATTCTAAAGTAGAAACTTTTTTTTATGTAGTTATGCTATAATAAACAAAAAATTCCTCTGTAAAATGATTTTAAAGATCATTTGGGCCTTCTACAAATTTAACCATTCACCTGAAGCAGAACACTCAGAAAACTACTCTTTGCATTGTAATGTATACTAAATAATTAATGTTGTAGTAAATTTCTTGGAATTATTTTTTTCAGCCTTCTTTGTATTGCATTTTTGGTGTTAGTTCCATTACAATGGAGCACAAAAGATTAGATTTTACTGTCCTTTGCTTACTTGGTTAAGGAAATCAGGAACCTTAGCCACCAAGTTCATATCAGAAACCATAGCTCTGTTCTAGGCTGATATAGTTCAGGGTGTTTGGTTTTTAAAATGCTTTAGATTGTCTGGGAAATAGTTATTTATTCTAATTTCTTTATAGCTCACTAAGCTTTTAAAAAAGTGAAGTAATTGCATTAAAATTGAATATGGAACATTTCAAGAAATGAGCATAGGCCATTAAACTGGGAAAACATTTTTTCTTTCTTTTTACCCTCCCCAAAACCTCTTAAAGCCCCCTTAAATAGAGTTCATTTATCCAAAGTGTAATATTATCTGGTTTAATTGTTCTACAGTATTTTACAGTTTACAGTATTTTAAAATTTTCAGAATTACATTAACATTTTTTCAAGTAGATAAGGTACAAATAAGTAATATTTCTGAGTTTTAAAGCAAAATTCAGTTTGAGAGTTTATACATTTTTCATTTTTTAGCCAACATACAGTTGATTAAAAATTTTTTTTATAACAAGTACATTCAATGAAAAATAATTTTAAGTTAAAATTTATTCTGATATGTTTTATCTTATTTTTTTTTAGTAGCTAGTCTACTAAAGAATGCTAAAAACCCTGATTTATTCATTACTCTTTCATTACAACATGCATTTATAATACAATGTACATTTAATTCAGGTTGTCATAATTTATGATTTAATACTGTCTATCCCTTGATTTTTACTTAAAATATTATTAATTTAATTTGGAGATAAATGAATTTTACCTTTCTGAGAGCTCAGTTCTAGTCCCAAATCTGCCACGAAAGTAGTTGTGTGACATTAGACAAGTCATTTAGTCTTATTAGGTCTTAGCTTCCTTCATTTGTAAAATGAGAAAGTTGGACTAGATAACCTTGAGCTAGATGAATGTGTTTTCGTCTCTAAAATTGTATAGTTCTGTTAAATGTAATATACTTAAATTTTAGTTTCACGATTCATATTGTAACTTTTTTTTATTTTGTCTTCTTAATAAACAAAAGCTTCATCTTTTCGACAATATATTGGGAGGGAAGTATTGAGTTTAATGGTTGGAGTAATGAGGTCTTTTGCTGCTTCTGTTGACTCACAGTTATCATCTGAAGCAAATCACTTTATCTTGCATCAGTTTACATATCTCACCTTCCACTTATGTAAGTATTACAGTGCTCTTTCTGTGATGTACTTTGTATTTAAGTTAATCTCCTTTTGTTTTTTTTTAATCAAAAAAAGAGGCACACTATATGAGTTTTAGTCTCTTGTATTTGTGCCTAGAATTGACCTAACTAGAACTTCCCCATGACATATATAGTCCATGTTGTTACATATGTTTAACTGCAGC